ACCCCCATCCCAGGCCCCAAGGAGACTTTCCACATCAAGCAGATGTTCACCTGCACATCTGCTAATGTGGTATACTGCATCCGCTGTTCCCGTTGTGGCCTCCTCTACATCGGGGAAACCAAGCGGAGGCTTGGGGACCGCTTTGCAGAACACCTACGCTCGGTTCGCACTAAACAACTGCACCTCCCAGTCGCGAACCATTTCAACTCCCCCTCCCATTCCTCAGACGACATGTCCATCCTGGGCGGCCTGCAGTGCCACAACAATGCTACCCGAAGGTTGCAGGAACAGCAACTCATATTCCGCTTGGGAACCCTGCAGCCCAATGGTATCAATGTGGCCTTCACAAGCTTCAAAATCTCCCCTCCCCTGACCGCATCCCAAAACCAGCCCAGATTGTCCCCGCCTCCCTAACCTGTCCTTCCTCCCACCTCTCCCCTCCTCCCACTTCAAGCCCCACCCCCATCTCCTACCTACTAATCTCATCCCGCCCCCTTGACCTGTCCGTCCTCTCTGGACTGATCTATCTCCTCCCTACATCCGCACCTACACTCGCCTCTACTGGCTCCATCCCCGCCTCTTTGACCTGTATGTCTCCTCTCCACCTATCTTGTCCTCTATCCATCTTCTATCCGCCTCCCCCTCTCTCCCTATTTATTTCAGATCCCCCTTCCCCTCCCCCATTTCTGAAGAAGGGTCTAGGCCCGAAACGTCAGCCTCCCTGCTCCCCTGATGCTGCTTGGCCTGCTGTGTTCATCCAGCTCTACACCTTGTTATCTCAAATTAATTGTATGTGTTTGAAGTAAATTTGACATTGTTAGAAGTGTTTAGTATTTTTTCTGGATTCAAGGTCAGATTCTTTTGCTTGAGGATTGTGTGTGAATGCTTAACCTAAATATAGTTAAAATGTCAAGGGAAGTCATGTAAAACTGTTTTAATTGCAATTCTTTTGTATATTTTTCCTTTGTTCTGCACAGTCTTCAAGTCAAAAGAAAGTGAATTGTAAGTGGAATTTATTTTAAATTGGGAGACTTCTTTATCACCGATTCTTCAGCTTCTTTCCTTATAAAAACTATATGATGAATTTAAATTCTGCTTTTCACATAACCCAAAATATCATTTGATTTTTGATTATTTACAGATGAGTTTATTTAGAATATTTTTTCTGTGGTAGGAACATTATGAAAACTATGAAAGTAAAATGCTAAATCTTGTTTTATTCTCAAATCTCTTGGTTAATTTTATTTATTCATTCATTAGATATTGATGAAGCTAACCAGAATATGTATTTATTGCTCATCCCTAACTCTCCTGGAGAATGTGATAATGAGCAATCCTTTTTGAGCTTCTGTAATTCACGTGATGGAAGTGCACTCACAGTGCCATTGGGTAAGGTTTTCACTCAACTATGACTTGTTTCCAAGTCCAGATGGTGTGTGATTTGGGGGAAGATTTCAGTGGTACTGTTCCTGTGCTTCTTCTGCTCTTGTCTCTTTAGGTGGTAGTATCGCGGCTTTTGACAATGCTTTGGTAAATTGCTGCAATGCATCTTATAGATACTTCATGCTGTAGTTACATTTGCACTGGTGGTGGAGGCAGTGATGTGTTAAAGTGCTGGATGTAATTCCAATCAAGCAGGCTGCTTTGTTGTAGGCTTTGTTGAGCTGCTTGAATATCCTTAGAGTTGCAGTTATCCAGGTAAATGGAGAGTATTCCATTACACCCCAACTCGCACCTTGTGGACCGTTCTTGGGAATCAGGAAATATACCCCTTGCCTCCGATCTGCATCCATAGCCACAGTATTTATATGGCTAGTCCAGTTCTGTTTCTAGTTATTAGTAACGTCTCAGATGTTAGTAGTGGACGAATTAGCGATTGTAATGCTATTGAATTTCAAGGCAAGTTGACTAGACAGTGACTTTTGTTGGAATTTCTCATTGGCTAACCCATGTGTGAGTGAATGTTACTTGTCACATGAATGTTATCCAAGTTTTGCTGAGAAAGGGACTGCTAAAGTATCTGAGTAATTACAAAAGGAAATAGCCATGGCATAATCAACTGTGAGCTTCTCCACTTTTGACTTTATGATGGAGAGAAGGCCACTGCTGAAGCAGGTGAAGATGATTGGCCCTAGGATACTACCCTGAAGAGCTCCTGCAGAGATATCCTGGAGTTGAGATGATTGACCTCCAACAACCACATCCATCTTCTTTGTGTTTGGTATGACTGAAACAACAGAGTTTTTTCTCTGCTTCTCACTGACTTCTGTTTTGTTAGGATTCTGTGATACCATACTCGGTCAACTGCTGTCTTGTTGTTAAGAGCAGTCACTTTCACTTTCAGGTTTAGCTCTTTTGTGAATGATCGTATCAAAATTGTTTAAGGCTTGGAGTTGAGTTGTGCCGACCGGACCCAAACTGAGCATCAATGAGCAGGTTATTGCTGTGTATGCAACAACTGATGGCGAAGATGTTAACAACCCCTTTTGTGAATTTACTGATGATTGAGTGCATGTTGACACTAATGGATGACACATTGGCTCCGTGGTTAGCGCTGCTAACTCGCAGCACGAGGGACCAGGGTTTGATTCCAACCATGGGTGGCAGTCTGTGTGGAGTTTGCATATTCTCTCTGTATCTGTGTGGGTTTCTACTAGGTACTCCAGTTTCCTCCAACAGTCCAAAGATGTGCAGATTATGTGGATTGGCCTTACTAAATTGTCTGTAGTGTGTAAGTTAAGTGGATTAGCTATAATAAATGTGAGGTTACAGGAATATGGTGCAGGTGTGGATAGGATACTGTTCGGATGGTCAGTGCAGACTCAATGGGCCTCTTTAGACACTGTAGGGATCCTCTGATTCTATGATAATGTGGCTGGTTTGGATTTATCCTGTTTTTTTTTGTGGGAACTGGATTGATGTACCTGGCCATTTTTCCATTTTGTTGGATAGATACTAGTGAAATAGCTGTAGTGGAACAGCTGTGCTAGGAGTGTCGTGAGTTCTGGAGTATTGATTATCAGCTCTGCAGTTGGGATTTTGTTAGGTCCCTTTAGCCTTTGCACTATTCGATGCGCTCAGTCATTATTTTTACAGCATCATAAAAAGTGAATCAAATTGGCCAAAGACTTTAACATGAGGTTGAGTTGGATTATATAATCTGCTTGTTTGTGAGTGATGCCAGCAAAGCAGGTTCAAGCTCTGTACCCTCTGATGTCACCATGAGGCCTTGCCTTCTTAACTTTGCCACTCACCTGAGGCGCAGTGACCCTCCGATTGAGTTGACCACCAGCTGTCTCTCTAATGAGAGAGAGCAGCCCATCCTCTGGGACAATACGGATTTTCACTTTTACTCTCAGCCCTTTAAAATGAAAATGGTTATGAATGCTTCTGTTTTGTCATTTAAACTCACATACCTGGTCTCCACCATTCTTGTGTATAAAAATGTTCATGGAGGCTCCTTCCCCCACCCTTTCCTTAATTGTGGAATCCAGAATTTGAACAGATCTGCTGGTTGTAGGATTATTTAGCTTTGTATATGGATGCTGCATTTGCTATTCAACATGCATGTAGCCTTTTTCCGAAGAAGGATCCCAACCTAAAACGTCAACTTTCCTACTCCTCTGATGCTGCCTGGCCTGCTGTGTTCTTCCAGCTCCACACTGTGTAATCTCTGACTCCAGCATCAGCAGTTCTTACTATCTGTGCATGTAGCCTTGTGTTGTGACTTCACCAAATGAGGATATTCCTGATTCTACTCCTGGTATGCTCTTTTCACACTCCTCATTGAATCACCTGTTAGTCCTTGACCTATGGATAATGTTAAAATGAGGGATGTGCACTGGTGTGAGGTTAAGATTGATAGAATATAATTCTGCAAACATCGACGGCCTAAAGGATTCATGGATGCCAATTTCTGCTCTGAATCAATTCCCTTTATTACAATGGTAAAAGCACAGAGCATATTGTTGGGTGCCCTCAATGTGAAAACAGAACTTTACCTCCAGAAGGACTGTGTGATGGTAATGCATTCCAGTACTGTTATGTACAGATATATCTGTGACAGTATTAGTGAGGATGAGTCTGAGTTGTTTTTCCCTTTGTGCTGAATGTCTCACTTCATTCACAAGCACAGTCTGGCAGGCTTGTTATTCAGAACTTTTCTGGCGAGTGATTACTGAACCACTCTTTACGATGGATGTGGAAATTTCCTACCTGGGTACGCTCTTCCTACCCTTATGCCTCTTTGAAGTGATGTTTACATGGAGGTGTATTGATTCATCAGGTGGGGTGGGCAGGCGGTAGATGGTAATCAACAGAAAATTTCCTTATCTGAGACTCCATGAGTCTGAAGTTAATGTTAGGGGCAATCCTTCTTGACTGTATATCACTGTGCTGTCACCTGTGGTAACTTTGCGCTTTTTCTAGGACAGGTACTGGTGATGGACGACTATGGGTGTTAAAGGACCGGAAGGATATTGAATCATAGAATGGTTACAACTTAGAAGAAGAAACTAGTTTTACCTGTCAAGTAAAGAAGTAATTCACCTAGAGCCACTTTCCACCTTGTTTCCTTGGCCATGTAGAGCCATGGAGTTACGGTATTTGGAGAGCTCCTTCAAAGAGGTGGCTCAGGGTCATGTGCTGAACAACCTCCTTTTGATGCCATATTATCTTATTCTAGATTAGGGTGTATTGTGCTGTTTTGGAGATACGATTATACTGAGTACCTCAAAATAATTGAGAGTGTACACAAGAAGGATTATCGGGATAAGCAAAAAGGTTTTGAGGAGAGACTGGAGGTACACACTGGAAGTGCATCCAAAGGTGCTATGAAAACTAAAAGTGATTTAAAACTATAAAATTAAAACAAAAAGAGAGAGACCTTCAGCAAATTTGTTTCTCTATTTGTTCTAATTCTGCTGTCTCACTGTCAGCTGCTGACATTGTAAAAGATACTTTTACATTTTGAGGGATTTTTGCTCATGAATAGAGAAAGATGATTTCCTCTTGTTCAGAATAGAGGACAGTTTTATGAATTAAAAATTTTCATGAAGGGAATGAGGAGAGAAGTTAGGAGAATTTTTTAATGCAGAGAGCTATACTAGGATGCAGTCTGTTCCCACATGGCTGAAAGCAGGGCAGTGGGATTCACTTTGGATTGCTCCAGCAAAGAAATGGCAGGGACATGAAGGTCTCTTCTTTTGTTGCCTGTGATTTGAGGATTACAAAGGGAAGTATAAATGGATAATCCACTGAAAGTAAAATTCAGCTTTTGACATGGCTGATATAGATAGTAGTAGCAAATTGACCTTCAAGTATTTATCCAATTCCCTTTGAATGTTAGTGTTGAATTTCCTGTTCCGAGTGCAGTACTTGGATGTTTTACTTGCCTGATGAAGTTGACTTTTATCCCACATTACTTTAAGAAGGGATCTTAGAAATACTATCTGTGGAAGACAACAGTCCAAGAAAAAAATAATGGGGGTTGAAAAAATAGGCAGGTAATTGAAGTCTTGTCTAATTGCCTTGGAGTCAGAGAGAAATATCTGTTAGGAAACTAAAGTGTGCAGTTCCCCCCTAGGAATCATTCATGGAAGGAATAATGTTAATGGGTTGCATTAGATTTTCTATTTTTGCAATTTTATATTTGGAAAATAAAATTGTCTTCAGTGAAAGATTCTGGCAAGTGACCAAGATTTTTTTAAAAGTGGAAATGTGGTTTATGGCGGAATTACTTAAATTTCTGGGTGATGAATTTATTTTGTTTTTTTAACTATATATTCTAAAATATTAAACTTTATTTTCAGAAACAGAATTGAAACTTTTTTTCTGATTTTGGTTTGACTTCCTTTTATATTGTTAGTGCAAGAACATCAGTTTAGAAACAGCCACAAACCTTTGATTTGTTGTTCATATCCAGAGTAGACAAACTTCTTATGTGTCTTCAAGTAACTTGAACAGATGCCTTTGTGTGCAACTGTACTTTGGCTGCAGGTTCTCTGAGTTGGTACAGTGGCTGCCCATTATAGTGCAGAGGCTGCTGTATTAAGTTATTACTACAGTTTGTATACTGTAGTGCCACTGTCTCCAAAAGATGCCATGAACAAAAAAAATCACAAAGAGCAAAAACCTGAATTTATGAACAATTTTACTGGTTAATTGTATTTGTGTTTTGGTTTAATATGCATGTGAATATTTTATTTTAAATTAGATTGCAAAGCAGGTACTGTAGTCTAAGCAATAAGTATATGTAAATAAAAAAGAAAGTAACAGAGTTGCTGACAAATTAATTCACCAGAATATTGGTGACCTTTTATAGCTTGATGCGAGATACGTAATTGACTTACTCAATGTTAAAACCAGTTGTGATAATGCTGGAGGTAGGT